TGGGGTTCAGGTAGAAAGCAGGCGCTCTGGTGGCGCAGATAGTTAAGAGCTAGCTCCTAACCAGACTAACAGCGGTTCAAACCCACCAGCGGCTCTTCAGGAGAATGATGAGGAAATCTGCTCCCATAAAGATCTACAGCCTCGAAAACCCTATGGGACAGCTCTCCCCTGCCTTAAAGGGTCGCTATGAGTTGTAAGAAGAAGTTCTGGTTGGGCAGCTAACCGCAAGGTCAGCAGTTCGACCCCACCAGCAGTTCCCAAGTGTAAGCCAGATGAGGCCGTTTGCTCCCATAAAGATGAACAGCCTCGGAAACCCACAGGGGCTGTCGTAGGGTCGCTACGAGTCGGAATCAGCGCGGTAGCCGTGGGGTGGGTGTCCTGGTTGAAGTGGAATGCACTTGATAGCAGTGCGTGTTTGTTTTATTTTACCCCCAGACGCCTACGAGTACGCCCTCCCCAGCCTCGTTTGGGTCTGCCCTGTCTTGGGTGCACAGCCCTCTGCAACTGGCCCTCTCCGTGTCCTGAAGCCCGTGGTCTGCCCTGCCACTCCCCACCCAAGTCGCACTCCATCTGGGACTTCCCAGAGAAGCCCAGCGGGGGTGGCCTCATTCACTCGTTCCCCCATTCCTCCTTGAGCAGTCACTGGTCCAAGACAGTCGCAGGGGGGTGTTGCAGTCTCGCTGAGGGAACCCTTGGTTGTTATGGGTTAAGCACTCAGCTGTGGTTGGAGTCCCTCCAGCAGCCCCGTGGGAGCAAGCTGTGGCTGTAAAGCTCACTGATGGGAAGCACCATGCGCTATCCTAGTGTGTCCTAGTGTGTCGTGTGTCTGGACAGCCACACAGTCTGGTCGAGGCGACGGATAAGAGGAAAATAAAGACGATACATGGTGTTGGTTGGATACTCTGATAGAGTCTTGTTGGGGGGGGAGAGGAAGGGGTGGCTACTGTAGCTATCTCAGAGGAGAGACAGTAACCGGGAGGAGTAACTTGGCCACTGGCTGGGTGGGGGTGGGGCAGCGTTCCAGACAGTGAGGAAGCAAGTGCAAAGGCCCTGAGGTAACTGAGTGCCATGCATGCAGGAGGGGCGGCAGGGAGGCTGGTAAGGTTGACACGGATGAACCAACTGGGTGAGGAAGAGGAGGCGGCAAATGTGATCTCCTTGGGCCTTTGCCTGGCCCAGAACGGCCTTCTTCCATGCACGGTGTTTAGTGAGCACCTTCTACATGCGTGGTGTTGAGTTGATACGCCAGGACAGGGGCAGACGTTGCAAAACAAAACTTCAGTGGAGTCGGAACTCGGTGGTGCTGGCTTGCTTTCCCAGGTCCCGAAAGTTCTCAGCCCTTGGCTGTGTGCGCACCACTTTCTTTCTCCGACAGGCGTCCCCGCCTGCGATTCCAGCTCCCGCCAGGTTTGACTGCACATGTGTGAAGCGAAACATCCAGATGAGGCACAGCTGCTGCAGGGGCCACTGTGGCAGAGAATGTAGCGGCAAGGATTTTCCTGAGACACACGGATCCCAATTCTTACTTCCCGTCAGCTTGTGTGCACCCTCCCCTCGCAAACTATCGCATAGAGACACAATCAGGTGTCCAGTCCCTTCCCTCTGGCCGACGGGCACCCGCACCTTTTCCTGAGCCTCTCTGCTCTGTCCATTGCCCCCCCAGGCTCCGCCCTTTGGGCAAGCCACGCCCCCTCCCCTCATTCATTCCGATTCAGCCAACCTTTGCTGAGTCCTGATGACGTAATGATGATGCATTAGGCTGCCAACTGGTCAGCACTGCGAAACCACCCGCCGGCTCCACGGGAGAAAAATGAGGCTTTCTACTCCCGGAAAGAATTGAGTGTCAGAAACCCAGAGGGACAATTCTACCTTGTCCGAGGGTGACTATGAGTCAGGATGTCATTGATGGCAGTGCGTTTGATTTTCAGTGGCACTGCCCAGGTAAAGTTTGGGCTGCTAACCACAAGGTCCATGGTTCAAACCCACCAGCCACTCCATGGGAGAAAGAGGAGGCTGTCTCTTTCCCTAAAGAGATGCAGCCTTGGAAAACCCTACACTGAGGTGCTGTGAGTCGAAGTCTGCATGCTCAGCGAGGGTTGGCGGGGTTCAGGACTGGGGCTATCAAAACGAACTCATTGTCATAGAGTTGATTCCCACACACAGGCCCCACAGGACAAGGTTGAACAGGCTTTGTCCGTTCCGGAGGCTGTAACTCTTCATGGGAACAAAAAGCCCCATGGGTCTACCGCGGAACAGCTAGCTGGTGGTTTCAAACTGCTGACCTTGTAGTTAGCAGTTCCACGTGCAAGGCACTAGCCACCAGTACAACAGTAACCAAAACAGATCCATGAACCTGGGCCTCCTGAGCCATGTACCCAGGGTAGTTTGTTGCCAGCTAGTCGTTCCTGACTCTTGGTACTACCCTCATGTGAGAGGGAAAATCCCGTAGGATTTTCCAGGCTGTTATCTTCATAGAGCGGAGCCTTGGTAGCACAGTAGTTGTGGTTGGGCTGCCATCCTCAAAGTCAGCAGTTCGAAACCACCAGGCACGCTGCAGGGAGAGAGACCGGGCTTTCTACTCCTGTAGATTTGCAGTCCCGGGAACCCCCAGGGGCAGTCCTACCTACCCTGTCCCATAGGGTCGCTCCGAGTTGGCACTGCTTGGATGCCAGTGAGGTTTTTAAAAACCTTAACGCGAGCAGATCTTTGGCTTGAGCGGCTGGATGTCTTCGAACCATCAGTCATTCGGTTAGCGGCTGAGGGCTGAACCTGGCACACCAGGATTCCTTTTGAGAAGGGGGTGACCCGAAGTACACCATCCCGCCATCTCTGCGGTGTCACCGGCGTGGGGGGGGGAGGGGCCTCAGGGTAGGGGACGGGTCTTCTGTGCAGGAGTAATAGCCAGAGCACAGGGAGGGGCCTCAGAGTAGGGGACGGGGCTTCAGCATAAGAGAAGCAGGTGCTGGTGCAGGCATCTGAGTTAGGGAGTCAGGACCCGCGGTGCGGAGTCATCCAAAGGCTGTGGGGGCCGATGGTGCCGACCAAGCCGACCACTTTTCTTCAGCTTTTACTGAGTGCAGCGAGGTCCCTGCAGAGTTCGGCCTCGGCCCTCCTGTCTAGTGGGAATGATGCCCATGAGGGTCCCACAGGGGCTCAGCGTGTGCTTGCTAGGATTGGGCCTTGTTGGTAGCTGCCCTGGGCCTAGCCAGGTGCGTGGGGTGAGCACACTTTCGGTTTAAGGGGTAGGGCGGGAGTGGGATGGTGTGGGGGGTCTTCCCGCGTTTTGGAGGAAGAGAGATTGTCAGACAGCAGGTCATAGGGGATGCTTTTTGGGGAAAGAGCCCTGGTGGCCCAATGGTTAAGCACTCCGGCCCCCACGCAGAGAACAGGTTACAGAGCCCTGTGGGGGCACTTACCTCTGCCACATCGAGGCCCCCATGAGTGAAAACTGACTTGCCAGCTCCCCACACCCACAAACTTCAGACTGGGGACCCTGGGTGACACCAGATGCAGCCTCTGGCTACCACCCTAAAGACTGGCAGTTCGAGCTGCATGCTCCACCCAGGCGCCTTGGAAGAAAGGCCAGGGAGTCTGCTTCTGGAATGTCACCGCCCTGCAAGTGCTAAGGAGCAGGCTCTACTCCTCAGAGTGGGCAGGGTGGGGCCAGACCCGATGGCCCCATCCCTGCTGCCGCTAGCCGTAGGACCTGGGTGTCATCGTCTCCCTCCTCTGGCAGACGGAGCCACTCATCACAGGCACCCTTAACGATGGTGGGAGGAACCACCGTACCAACACACAGAAAGACCCAGAAAAGCGACAGGTCCACTGGAGACTGCTCTGCAGAACAGCAGGCGAGAATGCCCTCCTCACAGGGCAGCCTCGTGGCACCAGAAAGGTCCTGCTTTTCCCGTTCCTGACTGTGTGACCCCGGGGAAGTGGTTTCTCTCTGCTGTTCCTCGGTTTCCTCACGTGTAACACGAGGCCGGTACTGCCCTGACCTCCGAGGGGTTGTGGAGAGGAGTTGGTGAGATGGTCAACAGAACTCTCGGAACAAACTTGAGCTGCCCGTGTTACCGTGACTGCTCAAGCACGCCTGCCCCTTCGGGGAAATCTCTTCCCAGAAGACCTCTCCCCCATAATCCTTGCCTGTGTCACAACTCCCTGGGAACACCACCATTCCCTGGCTTCAGTTCCCTTAAAAAAAACAACAACCCAGTAACGGGCCAGTGGAAATAAGCATGAGCCTTTACAGTTCTGTCTACCATGAGTGCTCCTCTTTTGGCAGTAGCCCTGCAGCACCTGCTAACCTGATAATGTTTCTGCCCCCAGAATCCCTTATCCAAGGGTCCCACCCCCAACATCAGTTCCATCCCTCACCCGTATCCCCTGCCCTCAGGGAGTTCTGGCAAGTTTAGCCTTACTCTGTCACCCAGTCAGCAAGTAATTCCTGAGAGCTGCATCTGGCTATAACTTTTCCTCTTAGCACTGCTTTAGCTATACCTCATGAGTTTTATCATTCTTCTGTTCTTATTAGCTTGACAGCACGCTCTAACGCACTCTTTGATTCTTCTCGCTGACCCACTGGAGACTAAAGAATGTGTTGGGTCTTTTTGTCTATGCCACCTATTTTGTTGTTGTAAAAAAAATAAGTAGCACACACTTGCTGTTTGGGCATTTTTCCAGGTATACAGTTTAGCAGTATCAATCAGTTACATGAATCATGCTGTGTCCGTCATTACCCATAATTGCTGTCAGATGCCAAGGATTATCTTCCACATTTTGGCAGCCTTTATGGCGCACCCAAGGAACCCTACTGGTGTATTGGTTACGCATTGGGCTGATAGCCACAAGGTCAGCAGTTCTAAACCACCAGTCACCAGCAGCTCTGCAGGAGAATGACAAGGCTTTCTATACCCGAAAAGAATTACAGCCTCAGAAACCCACAGGGACAGCTCTCGCCTGGCCTGCAGGGTCACTCTGAGTCAGCATCAACTGGATGGCAGTGAGTTTGGTTTTGGGTGTTGAGCAGCTGGGTGCCAACCTTGATCTCTTGATCAAGGGCACAGACATGTAATTCATTGGCAAGAAGTGTGACGAAGACAGAGTAGCAGGATGGGGGGAATGGTGGTGAAACCTGCATGTCAGCTAGGGCTTTGCCTACTTCACACGGAAGTGCCATCCGAACAGGTAACATCTCACTGAAGGAGGCGGAAATCTGGGGAAGAACATTCTAGGCAGAGGGAATCGCCTGGCCAGCCATACACATGCCCTGTGCGAGAATAGTAACCACCTCCCCCAGCCTAGCCGCCTGGGCAAGCTCTCCTCATCACCAGGTAAAGCTCCAGCACAAATAGTTAAAGAGCCCTGGTTGGCTGTTCAAAGCCACCCAGAGGGCCCCCAAGGAGACAGCCTAGCAGACCCTCCAGGGCAGTTCTGCTCAGCCACAAGGAGCTGCCCAGGGTCAGAGTGGATCCACTCCCATATCAGCCAGGCTTCTCTAGGGAAAAACAAAACAACAACAGGAGACACAGAAGGGTCTCTTTTTAGAAACTGACTGATAGAGTTGTGGGAGCCAGCTAGTCTGAAACCCAGAGGGCAGGTTGGGAACTCAGGAGAGTGGTGGCAGTCTTGAGTGAAATTCACAGGGCAGGCTGGACAGGCAGGTGGAATTCCTCCTCCTCAGGAAACCTCAGGGGCTGTCTAAGGTCTTCTACTGATTGGATAAGGCCCACTCACGTGAGCTCGGGTCATTTCCTTAAACTCAGCAGAGTGTAACTGTTGATTACATCCTACAAAGCACCTTCACAGCAAGATGTCGACTAGCTTTTTAAAATTAGGTTCTGTTGTTGAGAATAAACGGACGCAGGTGTGCGCCCACTCAGCAGTTGGATTCAGGGGCACTGAATGCATTATTGGAATTATGCATCCCACCCACCCCCTTCTTTAAGGGGTTCCTCCCACAGCAACATCACCCCACTGCCCTGCAGGTTCTCATCCAACCTTTCCAGTTGCCGGCGTGGGATCCCATGCAGACAGATCTCGAGAGGGTGCCCGCTTTAGCTTCAATTGTCTGGTTTTAAGGGGCGTCCAGGGGTCCACGTAGCCACCATGGAGGCCACGAGACTATGAAATTCCTGTGCATAACCGTGACCCTCCACGAAAGTTTGAAGGACTGGCCTGCGGTCGTGTGGGTGGGCCTGTGATATGGGGCATTGGAGGGGGGCAAGTGATTCAGGCCTGCCATCACACGGTACCACCCAGTGGGTGGCTTACAGCACAAACTCTTCCTCAAGGCTCTGGGTCCCAAACGCCCCTAATCCAGGTTTGGGCAGCACTGCCCTGGGCAGAGGCCCTTGTAGAATGTCATCTCCTGAGTGTTCCTCCAACCTCCGGGTCCAGATCGGTCTTCACCTGGCTGGGCTGGGCTGCTATGCCCCAGAGATGCAGCAGGTTATACCACCAACTTCCCCACGAGAGAAAGATGTATAGAAACCACCTGGGGCAGCTCTCTCCTGCAACCACTCCCCCACCGCCCACCTCCTCCCCCCTCCCCCCTGTAGCTGTGACTCAGAACCCACCCAATGGAAAGGAGGGGTGTAAAGGACACAGCCATTGGCTGAGTGTGACCTCATCTTACGTGACAGCATCCGCAAAGACCTCAGCCTCCAAACTGGCCTGAGTCACAGGTTCCCGGTGGCCTGAGTCTCCCAGGGCAGCAGAAGGTCCCGCAGGCAGGCATCACCATCTCTGGCTGAGTCCTCCCAGCAGCCCGAGGGGCAGGTTTTTGTCCGTGGATGTCTGAGGGAGGAGGAAACTGAGGCACAGAATGCCTTGGGGACATAGTTGGGATCACACAGCACAGGCTGGAAGCTGGCACTTGGGCCCCCAGACTCCACCCTCTTAGCCATCGTGATAGGCACACACATATCGCCACCCCGGTTCTGACTCAGGCAACCCTACATGTGCAGGGTAGAACTGCCCCACAGGACCGTAACCGTGGGACTCTTAGGCACTTGGTCACCAGGCCTTACTTTCCATGTACCTCTGGGGATTCACAGGCCAGCCTTTTAGTTATGGCCCCTGCTTACCCCTTTGTGTCCCCCCACCCGGAGCAGGGGAACCACAGTAGTGGAAACAAACTGTTGTCAGTTTTACAGAGGTAACCCCAGGGGTGGTGGCTGCAGGGTGTTTGAGAACAGAGGGGCTGCTGGCCTAAAAGAATGGAATGGGCAGGGGGACCTGGGAGATGGGGCAGAGGAAGTGTATAAGACCCCCAAGAATCGGGGAAGAGACAACGCAAAAGATAATTTGGCGGGATGTTCAGAAACAAAGGGGATAGTGGCGGGCAGAGAGAACAAGCTGGAGTGGTCTCCTGGGTCTGAGTGAGGTGGAAAGACAGAAAGGCAGGGGCGGAAGCTGGAAGTGGAGGATGGTGGCGGGGAGCCCTAGTCCTGGCCCGGCCCCACTGAGACCCGCCTTCTTCCTCGCAGAGTCGCCCGCGATGGAGGCAAACCCCACTGGCAGCAGCGCCGGGGGCGGCGGGAACAGCGGCCTGGGGGGCGAGGACGGCGTGCACTTCCAGAGCTATCCCTTCGACTTCCTGGAGTTCTTGAACCACCAGCGCTTCGAGCCCATGGAGCTTTACGGGGAGCACAGCAAGGCCATGGCCGCGCTGCCATGCGCGCCGGGGCCGCCCCCCCAGCCGCCCCCGCCCCCAACTCCTCAGTACGACTACCCGCCGCCGCAGCCCACCTTCAAGCCCAAGGCCGAGGCGCAATCTTCGTCGTCGTCCTCATCTGCGGCCACCCACGCCAAGAAGCCGGACCCGCCCCTGCCCCCTGCCTTCGGGGCGCCCCCGCCACCCCTCTTCGACGCCGCCTTCCCGGCCCCGCAGTGGGGCATCGTGGACCTCTCGGGCCACCAGCACCTCTTCGGGAATCTGAAGCGCGCAGGCCCAGCGTCCGGGCCGGGGGTGACACCAGGGCTGGGCGCACCCACTGGCACCCCGGGGCCGCTGCCCAGCCCCGCACAAACCCCGCCAGGGCCCCCCGCGGGCGTGGCCTGTGACCCGTCCAAGGACGACAAGGGCTACTTCCGGCGGCTCAAGTACCTGATGGAGCGGCGCTTCCCGTGCGGTGTGTGCCACAAGTCCTTCAAGCAGTCGTCCCACTTGGTGCAGCACATGCTGGTGCACTCGGGCGAGCGCCCCTACGAGTGCGCGGTCTGCGGCCGCACCTACAACCACGTGTCCAGCCTCATCCGCCACCGCCGCTGCCACAAGGACCTGCCGCCCGCACCTGGCGGGCCACCTGCGCCCCCGCCAAC